TTATATAATTAAAAAATTTGAATAGAATTAAAATAGATTGAACAATACCATATTTACTGTATAAAGTTGTATTTAATTAACTTTTGATTTATTTTATACAATTAAGTTGTACCCACTGCTACTAATTTTTTCAGTATTTTTAACATTTATAACCAAATTAGTATTTGTTTGCTTATTACATATATCTAAAATGTAATAGTGATAAAAACTATCACCGATGCCACAAAGAAGTATTATAAATTATTCAAATATAAAGAAAACAGAAGCTTCTAACAAATTATTAAATAATTCTAATAGATTTCATTTTGCTAATGGGTTATCGGCAGGATAAGTAATACATCTACCCAATTCAAATTCAGATAGTTTGTTGCTTGTAGTTTTGTCTAGCTCCTTATCATTTAATGTATTAACCCAATTTTTAACTATATATGACTAATTTTTTTAATTAAAAGTATCAGGATTATCAACTATATCCTCATTTATTTTAGAAGTTTCATTTGAATAGTTTTGTGAATTTTTTTTTTTTTTTTAAGCGATCCTGTCTTTATTTATATGAACTGCTATAAAATTTATATACAATGTATTAAATTTTTACAACTTATTACTCTAACTCAATAAAAACTTACCAGGTTGAAAACCCAATGTGACCTGCCATAACAACTGTTTACCTCTCTCAGGATCCTTAACTTACTAAGGATTTTGTACTATAACTAATACCTCCCTTGATCATAAGTAGGCTGTCATATGCCTTGTCAAAAACGCCTAATGATTTTGTTGAATCTTAACCAATGAGGACCATGTTGGCTTCTTACCTCATAAGACCCAATCTTCAATTATTTTGTCTCTTTCCTTCAATACCTCTAACTTTTCCCACCTCTTTTTGCTATCGCTTCTTTTTGTCTTTTCCTTCTCATAGTCGGTAGTCCGAGGGTCAGTATTTTCTTTATCTGCTTTGTTGTTTTTTCTCCTAGGTTTTCTTTTACTAGCCTTTTCTCTTTTCTTCTCTTTGGTTATACCATTACGCTTCTCCCAATCCGTTACTAGTTTGCATTGAAAGCTCCAGAAGTGCTTGAAAAACTGGCGCTGGAAATGGCTGAGTATAGCTTGGACAAACTTGCTAACCTTTCTTGTTTCGCTTATGATCATGCTAATACTTCCTTGTCTCTGCTCTGTAATTAAACCCTTTATTAGCTCTATTCTTGCTAAGATTCTTTCTTGTATGCCCTTGCCGAAAATCAGGTCTTGTATCTTTTGTATATCTCTGGTCTCCAGTTTCTCTTTTTCTTTAGTCGCCTTTTTGATAAGTAACTCGCTTACTTCTTTTTCTAAAATACACCATATTTTCTGGAGTTCTGAGCAGGCAGCGAAGTGATCTTGTGTCTCAGCTTCTTGCTAGCATATTTTGCATGTATCGTCCGAATACAATTCTGCCTTTCTCATGTTCAGGACTTGTATTGTCAGGAGCAGGCCATTTAGATACTTTATTTTAAAGATCTATTCTTTATTTTGAGCTGTGCTTCTGCAGTTTCTTCCTCGTACTCGCCCTATATCTTTTCATATTTCACTCCATATGATTGCTTCTGTTTCTTGCTCTGCCTCAACCTATTTAATTATGCTTTTTAAATTTTTCCACTCAGTATCGATAGTGGCCTCTGTTAGTCGTATAATAAAGCTTCTTGTTGAGTCATCTACTTTTAAGTCTTTCCATCTTAACTCTGTTATTGCACATTTGTTCCACAGCCATCTTGGGTTGATTATTTCTGTGCTAAGAGTATCTTTTTTTGCAAGCTTGTCCGCTTTCTCATTTTCTTTAACTCCACTATGTGCCTTAACTTTCTTGAAATGGATTTTAAGCTCTTTTAGATCAATCGTTCATTGTATTTGCTCCAGAAGACAAAGGTTTTTTCTCTTCAATATCTCAGAAGCTCCTCCCTCTTTTTGGCTTGCTTGTACTGCCTGTATTGCTGCTGCGCTATTGGTGCAGATCTCGATTTTGGTTTTGCATGGGGCTGCTAGAAGAGCTGTTCATATTGCACCGAGTTCTGCTCTTGTTGATAATGGTCAATCTCTTATTGCCCCATGAAAGTCGGCTAGTACTTGTCTGCCAGCTTTATTTTCTTTTTCTGAGACTGCAACTCAGCTGAGACTCATTTTCTTTTTCTCTGGCTCCTCTGTTGGATTAAGTAGAGACCCGTCTATATAAAAGGAGATCTTCTTTTTACTTTTAAGCTTGATTACTGTTTTTTTAATTTTTTCTACTACTTGTGTGCTTTCGATAGTGTGATCTATTATTTCATCCTTTATTGAATAAATTGTGATATCTTTAACTTGACATTTCTGAGTATTCTCCTCTCTACTTATAGATAGGCTTGTTTGCTGAAATGGGCTTATGAAGCAGCTAAATAGAATGCAAAGTTCTCGGCTTTCATCCTGAGAATAGATTTTCTGAATGAATCTTGGGTTAATTGTCAGCATGTTGCTTTTCCAACTTCTTTTTGTACAAGTGGAATCCGCTTCATGACTTTCTGCTTCATTAATGTTACATCCTTTATATTTGGTAAATATAAGCGTGTTCTTGCAAGGGTCAGGAGTTGCCTTCCAATGTTCTGTTATAGCTGTTTTTTTCCCCCTTTTTTACACTATTTTTCTCACCTCTACTGTGCTTCTGGATCTAATTAGCGCCCATTCTTTTTTTCTTTTGTCGTCACTTACTGGAGAGATATTTACTTGGAGAGATATTTACTTGGAGTATTAGGCAGTTTGGTGTTCGTCTTCTTCCCCTGAAGTCCTCAAGGACTGTTTCTTCAATTTTTTTAAACTAGTTGGGAGGTTTTTTAAATGCTTTTTTCTGCTTGCACCTTTTGATCTGGTTCTATGTAAACAGATTCACCCCTTCTTTGTCCAACAATTGTTCTAATACCAGGTGCAAATCTTTTAATTTCTTTGTCATTTAGAAGGTCTATGATTTTTACATCTGATTCTACAAGCCTTAGGTTGTCTTCCATTTCAATTGATCTTATACTTAGGTTTAACTCTTTGGCTGCAACTAAAATTTTATAAGCTAGGTTTTGTTTTAGTTGGATCTTTTTGAGCCTCTTCATATCTAGCCCTAATATGTATTGTGTGCTTTTGTAGTCGATTTGGGCCTGTTGTAATTTAATCCATATTGCCTTGCCCACTTCGCCGTTATTGTTTAGTCTCTTTCTCAGCTCGGTAATATAGTGGGCCATTTGATTTTGCCAGACTATCTTGATCCCCACTATATTTCTATGTATCATGATCACATTTGCTGTTGTTGTTGCAAAATCTGATTTATTTTTGATAACCTTTAGCAGTAGGCTTTGGAGTTTGTCATATTGATTTCTTGAAATTATGCAGTGCTGCATTCTGTGTTCCAACCTTGGGATTAAAACTCTATTGTTTATATAAACTAACTGTGCAAGAGTTGTGCTCTTTTTGTATATTGCTTTAATGACTGCCTGTGTTTCTTTTCTAATAATATCTATTATATAGGATTGGTTGATCTTCTTAGATAGCCAAATACCAAGGAACCTTGTTATCTCACTCGGTTTCTTTTCAATAACTCTTTCATTTGATGTACCCATTTCAATGAACCTTGGCTCCTTCGTTCTCTCTTCGCCTATAACCAGGAGCTCTGATTTCTTACTATTTATTTCAATGTCATTTATTTTATAAAATTCCTGCACTATCATAATGATTTCTTTTAGCTCCTCCTTGTTAAATACAACAAAGGTGGTGTTATCTGCATATGCTATCACTAGTATATTCATGTATTGGGAGCATGTCTCTATTCTACTTAAGTCTTTTGGCTATTTGATTTCTAGCTTGTAGCCCTGCTTTTCATTATTTTGTATTTCTGCTAGCAGAGGATCATAAAATATTCTCCAAACCAAAGGGGAAATTACCTTCTCTTGATCGATTCTGTCTCCTACTATAAACCTTTCTGTTGTACCCAGGCTAAGACCTCCATTTCTCAGTTTTCGAACAGGTTTATAATAAAGTTAATTGTTATTTGTGGAATCTTGATTCTTTGCAGAGCGAGACTAAGCATTTTTAACCCTACTGAGTCGAAGGCTTTTTTCATGTCTTGAAACAGGAGCCACAGTTCTTTTTTCTTCTCCTTTGCCTCTTCTATAAGGCAGTTTATGAGTTGTACTAGTGCCATAGTACTCTCTCCTGGAAGGCCTGCAAAGTTTCTACCTTTTAGAATTTTCTTTTCCCGAAGGACTTTTGTTAACTTGTTCATTAGAACTCTAACTACCATCTTTCTAAAAGCTTCTAGCAAAAGAATTGGCCGCACATTATTTAGATTAAAACACCAGTCTTCGGTTTTGGGTATAGGGTATAGTGTCCCTAATTTCCACTTTTTTGGCATGCTACCTTCTTTAAAACACCTTGAGGTGAGATTCATAAAGATCTGTTTTGTGTTTGTACTTACTCTTTTAAGGATAGAGGATACTATTTGCAAATTATATATAAAACTAATGGTATATTTTTTTTTTAAAAAAAATTAAAGAACATTTTATTAAATAAACTGATTTTAAATTCCTAATAAAGGATATAAAACAGGTTTTTCTGATTCTAACAGTAGTAAAATCATTAAAATTGGTTAGATATTCATTGAGATACATATATTTAAATATTTAGTATTATAAATTGTTTATAAAAATCATATGATGATCATATGATATAAACCAATCAAAATCAACAATTTTTGTAACCCCGGAAAATTTGAAATGACTACGGAAAACTTACAATATATACAAGTATATTTTTTTTTAATATTTGATTTATTAAAAATTTTACTATTATAAAGAATAGATATTAATCTATATAATATAAAAATTTTACAAAAATTAATTAAAACAGTAAAAAGTTTTATTAGTAGCATATTTTATTTTTTGTAAAAATCACGTTGTACTACAAAAATCATATGATAAATGATCTACATATCCTCTACCCTTAATCAGGGGTATGTAATGCCCGATGTTCCTGGGGCTGACTTGGTTTTCACTTGGTCTAATACTTGCTCCCATTCGGCCAGACTTATACTATCTGCAATATTATTATACCAAGCCTCTTCGATATCTTCTCGTGGGGTATACTGATTTCTCTACCTTGGTGTTAGGGCCTTGTACTAAGTTATATTTCTCTTACGGAACTGCTTTTCAAAATGTTTTCTGACTTCTTTGAGTACCTTGTCTGGCTCTTGCACTAGTTCACCCTCCTCTTCTATACATTTCACAATTCTATCTATTTTGATCTGTCTATGTGGTCGGTTAAGTAGACTGCTTAGCATTTTCCACTGGTTGGATACAATTGAGTCGTGTCTTTCTTTTATATTCTTTCTAATTTCTATCTCTTCTATTCTTTTAATTGGTAATCCACCAGTCAATCAGAGAATGATCATAGTAAAATGTGACTCAAATTACTTATAAAAATTGAAGGTTTTTAAATGTGGCGTGTGTGTATCTAAAACTTTTTTTATACTAAGTTAATTACTTTTCTAACTTAAGAAACTTTTGTAAAGCTTGTCAAGACGCATCTAATAGTAGTTAGAGTGTCAAAATCGGCTTGGTGGGTGCTGAGATATCTTTAAAAAACGTTTTTTTTACTATGTAAACTTCTTTGCAAACAATACTATTGTTTGCAAAGAAATTTACATAGTAAAAGAAACGTTTTTTAAAGATATCTCAGCACCCACCAAGCCGATTTTGACGCTCTAACTACTATTAGATGCGTCTTGACAAGCTTTACAAAAGTCTCTTAAGCAAGAAAGGTGATTAACTTAGTATAAAAAAAGTTTACCTTGGGCAATTGCCAGATTTGCACTATAGTAAATTTATATAATAATCTGAATAACATTTTACTATAATCATTCTTCAGTTAACTGGAGAATCATCAATTAATTTATTATTGGAAATCCAAGAATAAATATATAAGTAGACGATACAAGACACCTAGTTTAAATAATCCACAATAATCCACGCGAGTTAATGCTTGTTCAAAAAGTAGATGAGACCCAAAATTAAAGAATCTTTTATGTACAAACAGAATGGTATAAAGGTAATCTTAATCGCAAATTCTATGCTTTTAAGCTTTTTACTTTTGCAAAAAGGTTTTGCTGTAACTATAAAACATTTAGCTTAATACTCTACTAAATAATCTATTATGACAAATTAAGTAATTAGAACCTGTCCGATTATATGAACTAGTTGAATTTAGTGAAAAATATTAGAACTCAATTGGAAACAATAGCTTTTTTCAGATGAATAGACATATGTAAAAGAGGACATAAGGTTCTTTCTAAAAACACTATCTTAACGACTTCAAGAGATCTACGAAACATTAAAGACATGTACTGGTAGTATTGGCTTAAAAATTTACAATATTCGATTCTCTGAATCTTACACTGCGAGTTATTCAAATGAGATTATTCTTATGTTTCGTGTATATAATAACGTTGATCAAGAAAGAAACAACGTCCCGATGCATTCGGTCCAGATTTAAAAATACCGGTAAAGAAAAGGTATGGGCACAAGACAAATTCTATACCCTCTGAATATCTGATTTATTTAATGAAAATGACGATGATTAGAATCCTTTTGATCCAGTAGGCACCTGTACTTATGAATGTATGGAGAGATGAATTTTGGATAAGTAAGATTAAATAAACTTTTCACCAATATGAAATTACTAATTTCTCTAATGCACAAATTTAGAATTATATGAGGATTAGGTTTAGCATGCAATATTAGAATCACAAATCGAAACTGGTACTCCATATATGTTCTATAAAAATCATTAATCTAATTAGCAAACCTTGAAACGATCAAATGCTAAAATGTAGTAATTTATGCACTGTGATTACTAAAGAGATAAAAATACATATGAATTTTGAATACTTGAATGTGTGGTCTGTCTTTTAATTTATAGATAATACTATTTAATTATTAATTTATTTCTAATACAAGTTTATTGTTTTCATTATTTATAGATCACAAAAGACGTAATTTAAAAAAAAATTATTATCCTGTTAAAGAGACATGTAGGTCTAATTTTTGGCATTACACAATTCCTTAAAATATTATTAAATTTCAGTCTATTCGTTTTAAAAAATATAACTTTTAATTATAAAGGTTGGTTACATAAGTTCCATTTTTAGTACAAAATACTAACTTATTTCTAAAATTTAGATAGCATCCAATTATATCACTAGTAGCATATCTGCGAGGATCTGATAAACTATATGGCTCGCTACTTCCTGAACAAAAAAAAATATTTATTGTTACCATGATAACCGCAACCCCATGATTTATTTTCCTTGTTTCCTGTCCTAAAGATATGATATAGAATTTAATTTATAATAATAAGAAAATAAAATAAAAATTCGTTATTACCAAGCATGAGCATATTATTTATATAATTTGAACTATCAATTTTTTTTTGCTTTGCTTCGTCAATATTTGATTCCAATCATTCTATTAAGAAAATGGAATTAAAAAATTATAAAAAATCACCAGAACAAAGGTGATATCTATAGACGAAATAAATATTAATATTATCTATTTTTTTCTTTTGTATAAAATATTCCACACTCTGAAGGAATGAGATAATTTGCTCAAATGACAGCAGCTTTAAAGTCATCAGGAGCTTTAGTTTAAAGGTTTTTTTAATAAATTAAAAAGGCTATAAAGCATATTAAATAAGTTTTTGCAAGATTTCTCATTTTCATATTACCTATATAATTCACTATACCTCAACTAAAAAAACCTCACTTTGGCATTTCAACAAACCCTAAATCCAATAAATGGCAATTTGTTCCATGCAGTCAGCAAAACAATATCATTGTATAAAGTTATTAGTCTAAATTGTAGATAAAGCATTGTATGTACATACATATATATATATCAAATATGTATCATTACCTTTTGGCCTTGCAATTTTATTGGGTCACATGTAGAATGGTTGAAAGGAATCTAGAATAGTTTGATCGATATTTTGTTACCGTAAAAAGAGCGATCTACATTGTTCTAATTCAGTATATTCCCTGACTAAACTCTAATATATGATGCTCCATGTGTCTATTCCAAAGACTTTTGAGGTTTGTAATCTCTGGGTGTTTTGTTATTATGTTTGCTGTTGTGAACGGCATCGACATTTTCTACTTTATTAGACGAATTATCGGCTGGTATATTCTCTCACACTGTACTTTAGTTAAGCATGAGATCATTAATCTATATTGCATTGTTTACGTAAATAATCTGGCTCAAAGACATTTGTTTGTGCTTGAGTAAGCCTGTGATCTTGTCTACTATGCATTTCACTTTAAAAATATCAAACTTTTTTTGGCTCTTGATTGACATTCAGACCCCTAAGAATCTTGTGGTTTCTTTCGGATTTTTTGCTATAACTTTGATTTTTGGATTACCCATCCAGATTGCAGAATCTTTTGCATGCTTTTTTTTAACTGGATTTAACACTACGAGTTCAGTCTTGTTTAGATTTATTTCTATATTATTTAACTTATAGAACTCTTGTGCGATGTCAATTGTCTTTTGCATGCTTTTTTGACTATTTGTCAGCCACATTGTGTCATCTGCATATGCTAATACTCCTACTCTTATATCTACTTCAGTGTCTTTTGAGTTCATATATGCTTCTAAGTTATGCATTTTGTAACCTAGCTTAGTATCTTGTACCTTACAAAGCAAAGGATCATAGAAAATCCTCCAAACCAAAAGGGACAATACCTCTCCTTGGTCTATACCATCTTTTGCTTTTATGAAATCTGTACTCCCAAACTCTGTTATAACGCTAAGCTGTCTATTCTCATATAGTTCTATTATTATCTCAACTATTTGCGCTAGAAGTTTAATTCTTTCTAAAGCTTTCTTTAATAAAACCATACTAACCAAATCGAAGGCTTTTTTCATATTTTGAAATGTGACCCAGAGTTCTTTTTCTTTTTCTATCACTTTTCTATTATATTGTTCATTATGTAAATAGGGGTTGATGTACTTTCTCCAGACAACCTTGCAAAGTTTGCTTCTTTTAATATACTATTTCTGCTCAGAACCTTGTCTAGCCTTATTTGAAGCATTCATGTTAAAACTTTTCTACATGTTTCAAGTAATACTATCGGTCTTGTATTACTTAGATTATATTCCCAGGAGCTATTTTTTGAAATTAAGTATATCTGACCAAGTTTCCACTTATCTGGAATCTTGCTTTGTTTGAGAATTGTATTCATCAATGCTAATATTTTCTCAATTACTCTAGGTGGTAATTTTTTAAATAGAATATAGCCAATATTCGAAATTCCTAGTGCTGTGTCATTTCTAGTTTTACTTAAAGCACGTGTCCATTCCTCTAATATAAAGGGGTCTGTTACTTCCTTATATATCATAGGGTCAATTTCTTTTTTTGGCTTGTATTCTTCTTTTCATTCCGCCTTTATCTCTTTAAAATTCTGATTTCCTTTTCTAAATTGTTCTTCAAAGTGAAAAATTACTTGCTGCTTTACTCCTTCTTCATCATTGATCAATTCCAAGTTATGAACTTTAGAATTTTCCTCTACCAGGACTCTGTCAATCGTAATTTTGTTATATGGCCTATTTAACAGACTTTGAAGCATTTTCTTTTTGTTTTTTTTCTATTATACTGAATCTCAATTCTATTTTTTCCTGAATTTCGCCTTCTTTTTTTTTTCACTCTTCGTCACCTGCTTTCTTTCTAAGAACTTTACCCCAATTTTTTAATTTCTCTAATTTAATTTGATTCCAAGTCTCTAGTAGTTGTGCGATTTGCATCTGGTGCAGCTGATTTATTTCATCAATTCTCTTATTTAAGCTTTCTTTTTCATTAGCGTTAATCTTTGCAAAAGGGCTTTTCTTACTTCTTTTTTGTAAATAATATAAGAACTTAATTTCTCTATAGATTTTAGACTTTGGGATTGTCTTCTTTTCCTGCGCTTCAGTTTTCTTAACATTAACCCAAGGTATATATTTTAATGCTGCACTCATTATTGCACTACTAATATTATCTCATTCAATATTAATATCTGTAGATGTGATATGTGAAATTTTCGCATTTCTGTCTTAATCTTTTGTACAAAGAATGTGCTCTATATATACACTATATGCCTCCCAATCTTCTGACAATGCCTTGTGATATAGGAAAACTCTTCTAGTTGGTCTTTTATGATTTCTTCTACTAAGTTTTCCATATCCAAGTATTTTATTTAACTCAAACTTCACATATACTATTTTGTAATCACTACCTGTTACTAAATTAATGTCCTTAATTGTAGCTTCTTTAAGAAAATCTTCCATCTCTTCTCCAATCCATATATAGTTAATTCTTGAAGCTATTTTATCTTTTTGCCAGGTGTATTCTTTTTTGTGCGAATTTAAGTACCTATAAGAGTCTATCATCTTTCTATTTTTATACCATTCAAGAAAAGTTTTTTTCAGCCCTTAATTTTTGTGTCCAGTGTTACTAGTATCTAATCTTGTATTACATATTGCATTAAAATCTCCAAGTATGCTTACATATGTGTCAATCTTATTTCTACATATTTCTTGTACTACTATACGTTGCACCTCCTTGTTGATTTTTTTATCGGCTGGTGGCAAATATAATACTGTATAATGCCAGGTTATTATTTTTTAAAATTAAAATTTAAATTTTATAATTTAAAAAATTTTAATAAAAGTCCAGCCTGCTGGGTCTTTTTTTTTTTTTTATGTTATAAGAACCAAAAAATTAATTTTATATGGCCTAATAACCAGGTGGGTTTTAAAATTTTTTTTATAAAAATTTTATATAAAATTTTATACAGTATGAAATTTAAAAAAAAAAAAAGTTGGCTAGCCGGGTATATTTAAAAGTTTCATGTTATAAAAACCAAGTAATTAAATTTGTATGGCCTTATTACATTATTCTAAAACTTTTTTATCATATTTTATTACCGTATTAACACGCAGGAAGTATAATTTCTAAATCTGGCTCAAATTAAGCTTAATTCGGGCCATTATTCTAAATAACGCTCATGAGCGTTATTACGTCAAAAGAATATTCTTAGAATATACACGTAAAATTTTTATATTCTCAAACAAGAATATAGTTTTTAAATATTTTCCCGAAAATATTTTAAATATTATTGAAAATGCCGAGAATATTAGATATTTTACACTGGATCCAAGCACTTATCAATATAACTTTTTCTTAAGTAATCGATAACTTTTGCAATACTTGAGTATTTTGCTTAGCATTATAGAATCAACAATTAGCTGCTTTAAATTTAAGCCTAGTGGCGTAACTTTTTTTTTAGGGAAATACTCGTTTGTGTCATGCGAAACTCTATGATTAATTAGAGACTTTCTTATGCTGATTTCTTTCTCGGATGGGTTTCTATAATTTTCCGACAACCACTTTCCCGATTGACTGAAACTATAGCTAACGCTAACCTAGTGCGGGCTAACTTATCAGGATTTTGGAAAATGATATAAATATTTTTGTTTACATTAGTCACAATCTCGCAATAGATTCATAAAATACTTGATTGTAGTGAAACTTTTAATATACATATATCAAAAGATCAAAAACTGTGTAAATTTATAATAAATGATTTTATATATTGTTTTTTTTTTGTACAAATGTATACATTAAGCCTTTGTATATTGGCATATAGATGTCTTTAAAGTTTTTTATGCAAACCTTTTAAGGAGCCATATAAACTATGAATTTAAAAGAAATTGCGAATGAATTGAGGAATACGAAACTAGGTTTACGGTAATAACATGGAAAATAGTTAAAATAAAAAAAATTCTATGCTGCCATTGGGGCATTATTAGGATTATTACGAGCATTACTGTCATTTCCAGCTTGCTCATTTGGTTCTATATTATGTAGCCTTCGTCCTATAAGATATTCTTCATCCCTAACTGTTTGCATCCAATTTTCTATTAATTGTGCAGTTTGTTTTTGGACTCGATACCCGAATACCATCACCAAAAAAACAGGATATATAAATCGACCTAATCTAGCTATTGTAATGGCATTTGTAATGCCTAATTATAAAATAAAATAAAATAAAAAATTTATTAGCATATTAAAAATAGTATATCTATGAAATACAATGAACTTACCCGACAAATATATAATTCCCCACGCCGTTAAAGCAGGCAATATAACAGCTAACAATGCTGAACCACCAATAGGAATAATAAAAACGGTTGTCGCCAATTTAACATTTAAACGTTTAATGCCATGCGCGGTAATCTGATAAAAGAAATCAATCAAAATTAAACACAAATTTTTGTAACATGATGTTGATAAATATATCAAACTTACTTCATTAATCGCTCTACTATAAACATTATCAGGCAACATAAATATAATACGATATGCAATTTTCATGTAAACAATACCCAAAGCCCAGTCCTGTATGAAGAAAGAGGTGAGAATATTATATATAGAAATAAAAAAAAAGTTATAACATTATAATACCTGTAAGAACGAAATAATTGGCACATCCGTAGTAGGTTTCTTCCAAGGAAGAATAATGTATAATTCAATAACCAAAGAGAGGAGGAATGGAATAACAATACCGAGAGATATTAAGAGATATGCAATTTTTGCGAATATAATAATTCCTTGCCCTATTTTACGTCTTATATCAGCCCAATCGGCATAATTATGTCGGTTTTCAGCGATAGCTTGACATTTTCGTATTAACCATTCAAGAGTGACTCCTAATGACCACATGACATATAAACCAACTGTAAATGTGTATAAGTCATGAACAGGGCGTTCATAATGAAGAATAGTTTGAAAAATAAATCGACCAGTCAAGACTATAATAAAAGAAAATAAGATGTCAATAGAATAAACAATATTTCAAGAACTTAGTAAAATGAAAAAAACAGCTTACGAGGTAAAACCGTCACTGAACAACAGAATAAAGAACCACAGAACCACATAAGAAATAAGAAAAATATAATTCTTGCTCTAAAATTAGGAGGAATATAGACAATGGTGTAGCCCGGTTGATCATCATCTCCGGCTGGTGCATCGTTAGGATCGATCAAAGTGCCATCCTCGTTTACAGGTATCAACATCCTTTTTCCAGGTTCTACAGGTACAGCGTCATAACTTGGTGCTCGAACAAATCCACCATCTTTCACGAAAACAACATCATCAGTTTCAATAGCATTATTATCAACTATTGGTGCCTTAAGAAAGAGGAAAAAGGCGCGCCACGTCTTTCGAACATGTGTACCTTCTTCATCATATTGGCGTCCCCCAAACATGAAGGATGTCAACCGAAGGTGATGTGAGGTAATATGCCACCAATTTTCAAATAATGTGCGGAACAACCGTTTAGGCTTTGCCAAGGTAACAGTGACGGGAATAATGATATGGAATACTAAAAGATCAGCGGGAAAGTCTGATATAGGTTCACTAAAACATCGAAAAAGTTAATGTCAATTTCTGATGGGAAAAAAAAAAAGAAAACAAAGAAAATTAACGAAAATGCATACGTGAACGACCATTGCAAGGGTAATATGCCATTAAAGGCATATCTAATGAAATATATAACACTTCCTAACCCACATACAATCATTGCACTGTACATAATACCGCTTGCACCAATTTTTTTCAACTGAGTCCAAACAGGTCTTTCTAAAATTTCTTTAATAGGATGGAATTGCGGATCATTTGGATCACGAATGAACCACATTACGCCAGTACGAACAATTTCACGACAAAGAGAAACAAAAACTGCAAAGTGAAACATAAATGCAGTTCCAGTAAACCAGTGAAGAAAAGTTGAAGTGACAGGAGATTCGAGGTAGAACTCTAAACGAGACGTCGGGGTGGCGTCTGGGAAAAGCGGTAAGGTAGAAAGGTCTAACAAGATGCCGCATATGATGGGAAAAATTAATAACTCAATAGCGACAAAAAATGCAACCTATAAAGAGAAGAATTACATGAATATCTTTGAAGTTAGAATTAATTATAAGAGAAAAAAAACTTATATATCAACCTTCAAGACAATGCCTTGTTGTCGCAACACTTTTTGAGCAGCACGTCCAACAGTACGACCATATGGATTTCTTGTACGTGATAAATACCACACGCACAAAAGGATGATAATTGTATATCCACAGAAAATGCAAACAATCTTGTCCGTTGGTGTATTACCATAAGCAAATCCATTCCACCGATCAATTATTTTCACAAGCAATGTTAAGTTTTGGTCTTGGAGGAACTCAGAAAAATGATTTACGTTACTATCTATAATAGTACCATTTAACATTTTTCCAGACGTGGGGGTGATTTGTGATAACAGAGATGCAGAATAAGTTATAAGGTATTGAGATTGGTTTGTAATGTCTTGCATATAAATCATTAAGGATGTGTCTTTAACCATTGGCGACAAAGTAGGATGAATGACGTTCCATAATGATTTTAATACTGGTAAAATGAGCCCCCATAACCAAGGTAATGTGGTATCTATTATTAGATCGACCAAAGGATCTGTCAACTTTCGCAATAAAGTCAATGGGAGTTGTATTAAGTTCAAAGGCTTAACCTAGAAAACGTTCAAATAAGCATACAATTATATTTATAACAAAACATTAACGCAAATATTAAAGTATATATACCAATAAAAATGCTTTGCCAACGAAATAAGGTAGCCAAACTGAACCAAACAAACATAATGCAATTAATACAGCCATTAATGCAGAGTTTTGAGCAAGCATCCATAAAGAACCTCTCATGCCAATGGCTTCTAAAACTCCTTCAAGGTCCTCATTGGCAACGTTTTCTTCTTCCTCCTCTTCCGCTTCAATGCCTAAAGCAGGACCAGCAACTGGAACATCGATAGCTTCATTAAAGACAGGAACAGGAAAAGCAGGTGCATCTGCATTGGGCTCTCTTCTTACTGGACCAATGGGTGGATTCATAGCAACTTGGTCATTATTGGCCGCCTGTGGATCGTTATCTTGTGCTTCGTTATTAATATCAGGTATATCATTCAAAACATTGGCAATCCAATTCCAAATTTGAGTCCAAATTGTATCGGCTTGCTGCTCTTGTCTTGCTTGTTGCTGAGCATTATTATCATTCAAACCAGGATCAAGTTGACCGTTATTGCCACCTGCCATAAATATATATAAAAATGTAACATCATAACTATTATCATATGTTCACCTTACACTATGAACTTACCTTCTATTATATCCACAGGTCCTTCCCCTTGTTCGGCATTTTCCCTTTCGATGGGATTACCGTCAGAATTATGATTTTCTCCATCATCATCATCATCGTCGTCATCATCATCATCATCCATATCAGACATTTCATCTTCACTATTCTCAAAAAAGTCAGTGATCGATGAACTCTGGCCCTTCTTAGGAATACGATGCAATGCAAGTGTTGAATCATCAGCATAATAAACACTACCATTTGTTATATCTCTTGAAGGGCTGTAGGCTGTACCGATTTCTCTCGGATACTTTTCTTGGAGATTTACGTCTTCATTATCTTCGTCACTATCTGACGCTTCTGATACCTCTTCATAATCCCCATTGTTATCAGAAAGTGACTCTTTAATTGAAGAAACATTATGATAACTTAAATCTATCGAAGAAGTATCGTTGACACTTTCATCATTATCGTAAGGTGAAGAATTTGTTGATGTGGTACTGAGCTTTTGAGTATTTGATAACCCTTGTGTCGGGACACCTACCCTTGTTCTCACTTTACTAATGGGTCGTATTCTTAGAGTTCCTCCGATATTACCAATATTATTATACTGCCCAGAAGTTGTCTTTGAGGATGATGAAAAATTTTGTGCAGACTTATTTTTTGATTCATCACGTTCCGAATCGACATATTTTGACTCAAATTGTCCCAAATTAGAGTTGTCTAAAATAAGCGATGGTAACTTTTGCGATGATGAGGGTAATTCATCACTTTTAGAATGTCCAGTGAAAAGATCGTCCTTTTGATTTATTTCATCCATATAATCAGATATAGAAAGTCTTTTATCTGCGTATGGAACATAAAAAGACGGTTCTTGTAAATCCGCCACAATAGATTTACTACTACTACCATTTGATTGTTCATTATCCCGTGCCAAATGAGATACTGATGAAGTTGACGTTGAAGCCGACTGGATGCTACATGAGTTCTTGTCACCTTCAAGATCATTCTGACATGAAGTATCCAAAATTTTGTCAATTGTTTCAATGTTTATTTCAGGTTGTGTATCTTCATTATTTATTTGATGATATTCATCCTCCATCCAATCAGAGTCGATATCAGTTTGATTTAATTCTGGCATTTCAATTTGTGGTACAACATTTCCCATACGTAGCTCACCAATATCTTGCACTTGATTCTGTACAGGTTCAGGTTGTTGTATTTGCCCTAAATTCTCGAATTGTGGCTGAATTAATGGTATGCGAATACCGTTCTGAAAAACGAATTCTCCATCATTATTTTCCGGTTGTTCAGGACGGTTAGCATTTTGTTCGGGTATTGGAGCGATATTCGGTAAAACTATTCGATTATTTTCTATTCCCTCATTTGGGATCGCCTCATTATCTAAAATGTCCAATTCATCGTTTTCCAACCCATCTTCAGCCGGTGTATTTTGTACTATCCATTCTCTCAACATAAATACAGCCACAAATACTATTACTACAACGCACGTAATGATTTGTCCTTCAAATGTGTCAGCTAAAAACTTACTACTCAAAAAAAAAAGATGGATATTTTAAGTTCAAAATTAAATATTAATTCAGTAACAATTACAAATATAAATATTTAACTAACCTGGCAAAATCACCATAAGCTTCAACAAATACAACAGCTTCCGGGGGTATGTACCATAACGTTCCTTTGAGCAACGCAACATAAAATACGGCCAACGCACTCTTTTCACCAGTAATAGTACTGTTACTGTCTGGCAATCTAGAAGGTGGCTTCTGATTATTCAAATAAAAGGCTACGTTCTCTCCGCTCCAGAAATAAAATCTCCACACCCAAACAGTCATATAAGGTAACGTTATCAACCATACAGCACCTACAAGCATTGCTCGGAACCATATTTGAATTAACCCACAAAAACGCCGTATTCCACGACGAAGGAACAGAATAATAGGAATGGACTCTGGCATGCTAGGGTCATAAACTAATCCAAAAAATTAGTTATTAAATATTATTATTAGTGAAAAATTTCTTTGAATTGTTAAATACTGTCTTCTTACTTGGTGTAAATGAAAAAGGATATTTGCACACTTCACAATACCTAATTTATGAGAATTAAATTAAAAAAAAATTTTTCTAAAGATAAAAGGAGTGAATAAAAAAAAAAAAACCGAAGAATTACTTCTTCTTGCTATGCTTTAACCATTCCGTGAGGCTTTATATTACAAATAAAGAAATAATAAGTTATGTGAAGTATAACTAAACAAACCTAATTATATTAAAGCTACATACCAATCTTGGTGCACAAATCTGATACTGCCAGCGCATTTACAAGGGTGGAACAAGGGCTGGTCTTCTGTGCGTTCGCTACGACAAACACGACAAACATCTTTAGAAAAAAAAGATTTGAATTAGATTATGTGTGAATAATCGAATGTTTAACTGTGGCTTATATTAAAACCTGTCGTAGAAAGAATTTTCTAACGAGATCGTATGTTTATAGAATTCTTCATAATCACCTTCCTCGTCCCCCATAATGCAAGTGTATCCAATAAAGTCTGATTAGTAAATGTTCAATGATCAAGTACACCCTTCCTTCCTATATATGACTTGTGGCTTGAAATTGCCAAAGACGACCCTTTTCTAACTATCAGAAAAGTCTCTAAAATACAAAATGAGCAGAGCGTGAGAACACTTGAAATATTTCAGAGATCTCTGCTTTTCGTAAGCCTTTTTATATTCTCAATTATCGTACGCACACATGTCATATTTTATTTTATGGTATACTGTTTGTTAATAATTGTATCTCAATACAACATGAATCGGCCAATCAAATTACATGTATAAATTAAATTAATGGTGATCTCCAAGTACTCTTCGTACGTACTCTAGGTACTCTTCGGTTAAGTCAGTCATTAAAATGTTTAACATTGCTTTATTATGAAAATCCAATTCGATCGTATTTAAAGACCTATCAGTTATAGTAGCATTTAATTCAATCGCTCTTCTCGAGAAGGTAATTGTAAAATTTTCTGTTTAATGAGAATACTGTACAATCCACTATAGTCGGACCATTATTATACAAATTACCCTCGTTTATACGTAGTATAGTGAAGTTAGATCAAAGCCAGTCTACGTATACGTATGAAATTTCCTAGATATAGTGAATTTACTAATAAACTCTCGATATAGTGAATTTTTAAAAAAATTTTATTAATGGAACTGATCACGAGAGTGACCTGATATAGTATATCAAACTTCACTATATATGTTGAGAGCTTAATTAATCATCAAATATATCAAGAGTTCATTATAACGGAAAATGAATTGCATTTTGGCTTGGACTAACCCCAACGTGAAATCAATTACTTTGATTCGGCTATTACTATATTAGGCACATGCCAAAATTTGAGCCTATGTTAATATGAAATTTTAAAATTTTTTTGGGGTTTATTTTTTTAATTTTAAGATTAGAAAAAAGCATAGAGACCCCAACATTTTAGCATCTTAACAATTAATAATGGAGCGAGAGTATGCATCAGTAGTTTATCCAAGACGATAATCACTTCTAAAACATTTCTCAATGCAGTTTTTTTTTATCTTGGGATGGTGATAGGTGGGTTGTCATCCAATGAATGTGTAGGAATTGTAAAATCCGTCAAACCTACATGAATATGTCATTACATCATATATACGATCAATAAAAAGCGGGTTCCTCTGGGCTTTTACGCTTGCGGATTGATACGTACTAATCAGATATATAGTAGTTATGCACTAAAGCTGTGTTACAAAAACTGAAAATTTTACATTATACATATATGTGAAAAATAGAACCATTAACGTTAAAGGTTCATCTAGATTTTTTCTAATCAACCAATCAAAATCGAAAAATATCTAAATCATAAACAACCAATCAAATTTCATAATTTGCGCATACGGCGCAAGCATCCTAACAGGGTGACCATGTCTTTACGCAATGTTTTTTTGTTCATCGCCAGTGCGACGCATCGCCACTCTCATTTTATCATATCAAAATAAAAACAAACAGTAGCTAGGTCAGATTTAGGATAGAGCTCGGATAAATAACTAAAAAGCTACCTAGCTTAACAGATATTAATAGCCGATTTTTAAGTTACACAAAAATTGGATTGATTTTAGAATTAGAGGTTATACTGTATATACTATATATATATATATATAGTATATATATATATATTATATTTTATGCTGTATGAGTAAATTCCAATTTATTAAAACTATTAAGACTTACGTAAATTAGATTGTACCCGTATAAGAATTATCCGTAAAAAATATATCAAGCTATTGTTACTCGAATTACAGTAATTGCTTATTTAAAATATACTGTAGTATTATCAAAAATTAATTTAGATACATACAGTATATTACTATTGCTAAAATTGCAAATATAAACTAATATAGTTAGACCTTTTTAAATACTACGTATACATCCTACATAAGCCAAACTTCTATACAGTTTATACAATATCGATATTGATTTTTATAATAAAACAAATTATAAATCTTTTTCATTTTGTTTTTTAATAAAAAAAATCAAAAAATCTAAATTTATATAATACAGTATTTAAATTATTTAAATATACTACTATAAATTTTTTTATTGTCTTGTAAATTTTCAATTAGAAATAGTTGGAAATAATAATTTGCAAGCAGATTTGTTTACAAGGTATTGTAATTGATAATACTTTAATAAATTTTTTAATTTTTTAATCTTTATCAACAATACTATAACTTAATAATCTTTAATAATAATCTAATAAATATCACTATAATAATTGTACACTACTACAATTTTTTTTTTTTTTTTTTGTAAATTCGACAGTCTTGTTTTTATTTTATTAGGTTTAATAATATTATACTTTGAAATATTAAATTTTTCAGAAAGCTATTTTCTCTGACATCTAAGTTATAAGTATCAGCTTACCCAATTGTTCAAAGAATACTCATGTGTGACCTGCTATAGTAAGATTTATCTTTATTTTTTTTTCGGTATTAAGGTAATCTCTTTGTCAATGATGATTTATTATTATTAATTGGGAGTCCATGAGTAAGCCAGAGAATGATCATAGTAAAATGTGACTCAAATTACTATATAAATTTATTATAGTGTAAATATGGCTTGCACAAATCTAAAACTTTTTTTTATATTGTTAATTATACTTCTAACTTAAGAGACTTTTGTAAAGCTTGTCAAAACGTATCTAATAGTAGTTAGAACATCAAAATTGGCCTGGTGGGTGCTGAGATATCTTTAAAAAACCTTTTTTTTACTATGTAAATTTCTTTGCAAACAATAGTATTGTTTGCAAAGATATTTTAGCACCCACCAGGCTGATTTTGACGTTCTAACTACCATTAAATGCGTTTTGACAAGCTTTACAAAAGTCTCTTAAATTAGAAGAGTAATTAACTTAATATAAAAAAAGGTTTTAGATTTGTGCAAGCTACATTTACACTATAGTAAATTTATATAGTAATCTGAGTTATATTACTCTCTGGCTTACTTATAAACTTCCAATTAAGTATTATTTCGGTATATAATAAAAGTATATATAGCCACACATGCACTTTTAAGTGTCTAATTTAAGTAGTTCGTCTGAAAGTTCTACACTATCTGTCATACTTGCATTCAGTATTGTCAATAGACAGCTTTGGACAGTAGTTTGAACAATTTTGGACAATTAAATAAAGTAAAATTACTTAAAATTTTATTAAGATAATCTATTTTAATTTTAACTGAAATGTGTTTAGCACCCCAAAAAATATATAATTATATATTTTTTAAACAAATTTATTAATTATTAAATCCTGTATAAGCTTTGAACACTTGGACATTATGGATATGGACAAGGCCCTTGGATAGCCAAAATGTACAACACTGCTAAGAGGTACTCGTGTAGAGGTACTAAGAGATACTTGTGTAAAAGTACTAAGAAATACTTATGTAAAGGTACTAAGAGGTACTTGTATGAAGGTACTAAGAAGTACTTGTGTGAAGGTACTAAGAGGTACTTGTGTAAAAGTACTGAGAGATACTTGTGTAAAGGTATTAAGAAGTACTCATATAGCATTACTGTGTCTCTTTTAACTAGCCAATAGTGTCTTTATAACTACTATAATAAATATTAATATATAAAATATAATATACTAATTTAATAACTAATACTAAATAAATATAACTAATATATAATAATACAAATAATAAATTATAATCTATACTACACTATGCTAATTTACATTGTATTACAACCTACTTTGTAACATTTTTTCCCTTTTAAGATTTTACTCTATAAAATCTAAAACTTCTAAACTTGGCTTTTACTAAAAAGTAAAAGCATATCAAAACTGGTTTCATTAAAATTATTAAAGTCATTAACTTTAAATTCCTTTGTCTTATAAATGTGATCATAACTACAAGCTTCAAATAAATAGAAAACCTGTTTATAAATTTTAGCCTGGTTTTTCTTAATGGTGGTTTTGATAGTTGTTTTATGATACCACAAAAGGGCTCCCATATAGAAAGCATATGCCAAAGCATGAATGTGGTTAAGATTTTTAATTTGCTTTTGTTTTGAATGACAGGCAATCATAGCATTGTACTTTGTTAAAATTTCCGCAAGTTGGTCACTAGGGTCCTTTTTGTTTGAGGTTGTTACAGGGAATATTTGATCATTTCCGTTAGGTAAAAGATTAGCTTTGAATATGGCCAAGGGATCCATAAAAGTAGTAGTGGCATTGGGATTGGCAAGGATAATGCAAGTGTGATCCAGATTCTGGATGATTGTTGTATTGCCAGTAGTGTTCCTATTGAACCTAGGTTCAAAGTTCATGAACATGTTCAAAGTTTTGAATAAAGAAAAAAGCATATAATCGCAAAGATA